CCCCAAAACCCCAAAACCCCAAAACCCCAAAACCCCAAAACCCCTAAATTTGTCAGAAATGTTGAAGACTAGCAGATATGCATATACCTTTCATCTGAGTAAGAAGGTCTGACCTTAGCTTAGTCAGTCATCATCTTATTGGAATCGAAGGAGAAGTCTTTCCATGTTAATGATCCCGAGTCGAGAACGGCACCATCTGCAGCAGAATCAATGGGAAGCATATCTGTAAACTCACTGTCGATATATTTGGTATCATCATCGGAATCTAAGTCCGGTTTGAAAGGAGGAATGATCTTCTTCTCTTTAATGATCTCCCAGTCAACTTGGGAATACCAAGGATGACTCTTAATTTCATCAGCATTGCTCTTCGATCCTCCTAGTCTTTCTCCAGGGTCCTTTTTAAATAAACCTTGTAGGAGATCCTTACAAGCAGGGCTCATTTCCTCTGGGTATTCAGGCTCTCCATACTTAATATCCTTGAACAATTTATCCTTGTCGTCATTCTGATAGAAAGGAGGAAGTCCTACAATCATTTCATAGATTATGGAGCCGAGGCTCCACCAATCAACAGGCTTCCCATGCCCTTTTCTTAAGAGAATTTCAGGAGCCAAGTATTCAGGAGTTCCACAGAAGGATTGAGCATCCTTGTCTGTTACTATATTTTCCTTAGCAAGCCCGAAATCCGTAAGCTTAATGTAGCCATCAGTATTGATCAGGACGTTTTCAGGTTTTAAGTCACGGTAAATCACATTGTGTTTATGTAAGTGCTCGAGAGCTAGTATCATCTGTGCAGAGTAGAACCTTGCCACCTCTTCATTAAAGCTTTCGACTCTTTGAAGATGATAGAAGAGCTCCCCTCCTGGACAAAATTCTAATCAAAAATACAATTTCTCCGAATTCTGGAAAGCATATCTGAGACTAACAATGAAAGGGTGATCAATAGTCTCTAAAATGGTCCTCTCTGACATAATATGCACCTCTTGCCTCCTCTTCTTAAGGTCGGATTTCTCAAGCATCTTTATAGCAAGGACTTCGTCTGTATCATCCTTCCTTGCCAACATAACCGTGCCATAAGAGCCCTTGCCAACGACCTTGAGTAGACTAAAGTCGTCAATAGTCAATTTTCTCTCTTCAAAATCCATTTGAAATTAATGAATGGACTGTCAACCACTAAGATTTCATAAGGGGTTTTGGGGTTTTGGGGTTTTGGGGTTTTGGGG